AGGGAGCTGGGAGGCACATGATTCAAAAACTGGTGACAAGGAGGTACGGGGAAGAGAATGGACCACAGGAGAGAAGATATTTGTGTTCCATGTGAATGCTCCCCAAAGAGTGACCTTGGCAGAGGAGGTGTTTACTAACCAGGTGGATAGAACATCCTGTGCGGCTAGCCTTCAGCACTCTCCCCAGCCACTCCCATCAAATGGCTCGTGAACAGAGAGACATGGTGGCAGCAAATGAGCGGACACATGGGCTCAGGGCCATGGATAGTCACTCACCAAGGCCGACTTGGTCACAACCACCGTGCAGGGCCCAATCTGCCAGCAACCAAGTTCAACACTCAGTCCCGGGTATGGTGCCATTCCTCGGAGCAATCAGGGACTTCCATTGTGGAAAGGGCAGTGTTTTATTTGCACTCTGGGTACAGATCTGCCTCCCTGCATGCAATGCTTTTGCCAATACCATTATCTGTGGCTTTACCGAATGCCTGGTTCGCTGAGCGGTTCCTCATATAGCCTCGGATCACAGCCATGCTCATGCTCCACAGAGACCACTGCTGTCCCCCGGAGGCCGCGGACCACTGCTGTCCCCCGGAGGCCGTGGATGTTCTGAGCCAGCATCGGATGTGTGGTGCTACATGCTACAGCCAGGATTCACAGGCTCAGAATGGAAACAGAAGTGGCACCAAGAATTATTACCCCCTCGAGACCCACTCGGAAAATTTCTGCTTCCTGTCCCTGTGACCCTATGTTCTGAGGGTCTATAGCAGCGGTTCTCAACCTGTGGGTCCAGACCGCTTTGGGGGTCGAATGACCCTTTCACAGGGGTCGCCCGATTTATAACAGTAGCAAAATGACAATTATGAAGTAGTAATGAAAATAATGTTATGGCTGGTGGGTCAGCACAACATGAGGAACTGTATGAAAGGATCATGGCATTAGGAAGGTGTAGAACCACTGGTCCAGAGGTTATTCCCACCAAGGAGACAACACTGATTCCATCGAACTGCAAATTAAGAATGCTACCTGGTCAGTTGAGTTCTTCCTGCCTCTGGAACAGCAGCCAAAGAAGGGAGTTCCTGTATGGGCCTATTTATTGATCCTAGTTACCAGGGGGAAATTGGATTGACATTACTTACATCTGGAATCCAGGAGATTCCTTAGGACTTCTTAGAATCACCATATCCTATGATGAAAGTCAACAGAAAACTACAGCCACCCACCCCTGACGTGCCCACTAATGGCCCAGACCCTCCAGGAATGGCCATGTGAGTCACCCAGAGGGCAATGCACAACTAGCAGAGATGCCTGCTGAGCCAAGGGAAGACAGAATGGGTGGCAGAAGGAGGAAGTTCTAAATTCAGTTCGACTGTGTGATCAGCTGCCGAAACGAAGGCTATAATTATTTTTAGCATTTTCTCTTATTTTGTTACACACACGTGCATGTGCCCGCAGTCTTTAAAGCTTGTGGGAAAATAGAAAAGACAATGGGATTTCCCGACTTTTTGAGGCCCCCTTGTATTGTCTTTGTTTTCTTCCGTCCCTCTTTCTATCACCTACAAAGCAGACCAGAGAAACGGGCTGAGTGCATGTTATGCCAAGTAAGGTGCAAGATGGCTTTATAACGGTCACTATTAGAAAGCATGTCTGGTTTAAGGAGATAAGTGCTGGTGCTAAGTCGACATGGGGAGGGCTGTGGAAGGACAAGGTTGTGTCAACTTGGCTAGGTCATGATCTCAGTGGTTCGGCAGATATTATTGTAATTCTTCATCTACGATCAGTTGAGAGGCGTGCTGGGGGTGTCACCTGCGTCTGACACATAGATGCTCCTGCACGACTTGCTCTTCTCTCTTGATCCTGGACCCAACTCGTCTTCTGACCTGTGGTTCTTAGGGTGTGAGCCAGCAGTCCATTGTTGACCTGTAGATTGTGGGATTCCTTAGTTCCTGCAGATCCGTGAAGCAGCAACCGACCATCTGACGAGTCAATTTTAGGTTTATCACCTCCTGCATCCAGCTACATGAGACAGATGTCAGGTGCCTGGCCCACAAATTTGGACCTTGCCAGCCTCAGCAACAGTATGAGCCATTTTCTTGAAACAAATGCCTATACATACTTACCTAGATGTAAATACATCTCTAGATGTATGTAAATACCGCTCTAGAGAACTCGGCCTATGACAGCAATCTCAAAGCAGTCTCACTTGGGGGGAGATGCTGGGTCCCCATCCTTTCTGCCTCCCTGGTCAGACCACTGTGGGCAGGAGCATGAGGGCAGAGACTCAGAGGGTCCTCAGACAGGCTCCTGGCACGAACCCAGGCCTTGACTGACGGAGGCAGTGGTGGTAGAGGTGATCTGCCTCCTCTGGAGGGAGCACCCCTTTGTGGGTACTATCTTCTGGATTCTTCCAGCCCAGGTCTGATCTGGGTCTGTCAGGGCTTTCTGTACCTCCTCAACACCTGGCTAGTTTGTTTGCGGGAGGCAGACTTTGTAGATTCACAGTAAGGACTTTGGCATCTGCTCGTTCAGAGCATCAACAGATAGCTCCCTGTGTAGCCTTGGGGCCGTTACCTCACCTCTTACAGCATGCCTCTCTCCCCTGGGGTGGCTGTGAGGATCAAGTGAAATCCCACTGAGCGCTCTAAGGAAGATGCCGATGGGCATTCCCTGCCCATGTCTGGACCATCTGCCCAAGGTGATGCTCTACCAGGCTGAAGTCCGGGCTAACCGCCTGCATGGGGGTGATGCTGATGTTGGGTCAATTGCTCTCTTAAAGGCCAGTGCAGCCTTTCCAGGTGGAAATCTGTGTGCCTCTACTGGCCAATGGCTACAACCACAGGGCAACATTTATCTGCACCTCGGTGTGGCTGCTATGGGAACCAACTGTTGTTTGTGCAAACACCTTGAAGACTTTGAAACGTGACCTTGGAGAGGTCAGGTACTTCCTTCCCAGCCTCCGCTGGTTGACTTTGCCCACTTCCTATCAAGAGCTGGCGGGTCCATTATTCTTCAGTGGCTGACAGGGGAGTGGACAGCAGCTGCCAGCTCCCCTTGGGAGAGCCTGGGCATCATTCCTTGACTGTGGGCATCTGCACCCCTCTCCCCAACCTCCGGGTTTCTCCTGGCCCCTCTTGCCGCTGGTTGAGGGGAAACAGGACAATCTGGGGTCTTACTGGCTGTGTGATGTTAGGCAAGTCACGTGCCCTGAGTTTCAGTCGCCTCATCTCTAAAAGGAAGCCAGGAGGTATCTGGGCAGTTCCTGGGAGAGAACCTGAGTGAGAAGAGGGGCGAATGCCTAAGAGGAAAGCGCCCTGGTGGCACGGTGGTTAATGGACTCCATTGTGCACAAAGCTGTCGGCCGGCTGCTGGAACCCCCAGCTCTGCAGGAGCAAAGCATGGTAGTGGGCTTCCGGGAGGATGGAGAGCCTTCGAGACACGGAAGAGCTGTTCTATCAGGTTGCTACAAGTCAGAATTAACTTGATGGCAGTAAAATGATAGGTGACAGCTTGTTGTTAGAAAAAAAATCCCATTTACTTGTAATACACACACCCCCTCATCTTAGGCAGATTTCTATCTGGATCAGGAAAGCCCTGCTTGGGAGGTAATGCTGGTGCTGGGGGGCCCATGTACCTCTTCACCTTTCTGGCTTGCCCTCAGCTGATGGTAAACTCCCACTGTGGCGGAGGGGAGCAGTAGGGCTTCCCTGCACCAAGAGGGGGGCACTCATCAACAAATTAAGGTGCTTGTCTGCAGCTTGCAGCTGGTCAAAGGCTCAAACCACTTATTTGGGAAGGGCACCACCCAAGAACACAAAGGAACGCTTTATGGAGCAAACATTTTATTTAATAAGTTATGAGATACAATTTACAATTCGGCATTTGATTCCAGTTTTGCATCCACACCCCCGTCCACAACACGTGCGGTCATTTCACATTAGGCTCCAGGCTGTTCCAGTTTTGGGTTTGCTTTTCCTTTTTTTGTGTGTGTGTGTGTGGGGAGGAGGGGTTGTCTTTGCCAATACTCACCCCAGCTGCCACCCCTTGGTGAGATGAGGTTCCCACCAGGGCCCAGAGAGCGGCCAGTTCCTTTGGACTAGGCAGTGAGTCAAGAGGGTTTGCCTGCCCAGATGGTCCTACAAATCCTCAGTCTGCAGGCGGGGCACCCTCACCCTAACACTGTGTTACTTTATCCCAAACCAGCCCTGCGCAGTGGGAAGCCATACACCCCATTTTTGGAATGTTGCACCTACCTACTGCACTCCCAACAGCCTGGAAAGACACAGCTACGGTCAGTGGCCAAACTTTCACTTTCTGCCAAATGGTAAAATACTGCCAGGAGCTGCTGCCCTCCCCACCCCCCCCCCCACCCCCTGCCCCCAGCGACTCCCCGGCCAAAGAATGCCAGCAGCTTCATTCTTTCCCATCTGTGTTGCTTTTCCAGAAAGTGTCCCAAGGAGCTGAGTGGGGCGGCCGGGCTGCAGGGTGGGCTCTGCTACCTCCCTGACGGGGACCTTCATGCTCGCCCCCGTCGGAGACAGACGGCTGCAGTGGATGTGGGGAGCAAGGGCTAGCGTGGGCCACGGGGGGATCTTTGGCACGTGAGGTGCCGCTCACCACTGCAGGACCCCCCAGGCCGAGCAACTGGAAGGGATTGGACAAATTCCAACCTCGGCCGCTGAGGCCCACGCTTGTCGTGACTTTGCAGACTCGGGAGACGAGGTCCTGGAAGTTCGCTCCTGCCCAGTTTGATTCATGGAGGCGCTGCCCTTGTGGGGATGTGAAAAGCCACAGCGCATGGAGGGGTTCCTGTGGGGGCTGAGCAGTGTTAAAGCAACGGCGGCCACCTGGCGACCTTTCTTAGGTCCCAGGGGCGCTGGGGCTGATGGAAGTGGTTTGCAACCCACCTCCTCTGCCACCAAGCGGGCCGTGTATGCATCCTTCCTGCCCCCCTGGTCCCCTGCCACCCGCCTTGTTTCCTAAATGCTGAAAAGTAAATCAGTAGCTTAGGCTAGCCAATTTCATTTATATATAAAAAAAATCACCCACGTCCCTGTCCACATCCTCGGTCTGCCACCAAGAGGTCCGATTTGGATCACGGGCACACGGAATTTTCTTAAGACCATTTTGAGTTTATGTGTCTTTGGGTTCTCCAAGATGCCCCCCTCCCCGACAGAATCAAGTCTAGACCATCCGTCCTCCTGAAGGCACTTTAGAATGGAGATGTGAGGGAAGGGGCGCCAGACCCACACGCAGGCCGGGGGAACTCTGTATCCAGCGATTTACGAACAAGCAAAGAAGCGGCCTCCAGAGCGCCATCCCTCAGATTTGCGGGGGCCCGTTTTATGGCACTGAGACGTGGAAGGGGCTGCCTGGGATGTGCTCCTCCCCCCACTTCACAGCCAGCACGTAGTCGCCCTTCTCCTTGACTACGTATGTGACGTTGTATTGCTGATTTCCCACGTGCTTCATGGAGACCTCTTCACAGGGTGTGGTGGGCCCGTGGACCCCGATCAGCAGCATGTTGGAACCTGGCAGACAGGAAGGACGTTATTCCATCACATGCACGTGGCCGGCAGAGGAAGAGAAGGGGAGACGGAAGCCCAGGGTCCAGGTACCAGAGATGGTTACGCGCTGAGACGCGGTGCCTTGTAAGAGGTGGGGCAGTGTGGTTGCTATGAGGAGGGACTCCTGGAGCTGCGTGGGTTCGAGTCCTGGCCCTGCCACTTCCTGGTGGTGTGACCTTGAAGCTCACCTGCGTGAACTTCTCTCCCCGGCTTGGCCGACCCACCTGTACACTAGGACTGGTGACAGGGATGGGCATTCTGAGCTTCCCCTTTTGTTCTCACAAGAACCTTCAGGAATGAGCAGCCACGCCCAGCCATGTTCAGCGACTTGCCCGACAACAAGTCAGTGGTGGAGCCGGCTTCCGGCCAGGTGTCCTGGATGCCCAGACCTGGGCAATGAGCCACTGACACCTAAATGATCACCCACCCAAACCCATTCGGACTCATCACCACCGGACGGGACACAGGAGAACTGCCCCACGGGGTCTGCGAGGCTGGAATCTCTACAGAGGCAGCAGATGGCCTCACTTTCTCCTGCGGAGCGGCCGCTGGCTCAAAATGGCAACCTTGTGGTCAGCAGTCCAACGCTTAACCCATTGTGCCACTGGCGCGCCTATCTTAATGAGGGGGGCTCAAAAAGCTCATGGAAAAATAGACCTAAAAGACAATGGAAATTTCCCACAAACTCTCCAAGGCCCTTCAAGACACCCAAGTTCAAACCACAATGAGGCAGTAAGGGGCAGAGAAGGGGCCCAGTTATGGAATTAGGCTGCCCGTCAGTGGTAACTGGGGGAACCCCACCTCTCCTAGGTTACCTGGAGGCCATTTGAAAGAATCAAGAAAGGAAGGGAAGTCATTCACTTAAAAACGGGTGCAGGAGGCTTGGGCAACAAGGGTGTTTGCCAGTGGGCAGTACAGCAGGAGGTGCTCAGAGAGAAGGCCCAAGAGAATGGGGGTGCTGTGCTCAGCCCACCCCACCTCGGGGAGCCAGGGGCCTACCAGCTTGGCTGCAGTCCACCAGGAAGGAGCTCTTCTGGCCCACAAAGGCCTTCAGGAGCCCTGCGCCCTTTGAGGTGACCTTGCTGGCGTCTGAAGAGGCTTTGGGGATGGCGCTGTAGCAGGTCTCTGTGGAAGACCTGGTCACCGATTCCACCAGGATGGATGAAGTCTCATTGGTTGATCCGGGGCTGACCAGACGTTGACCTACAGAGAGGGAGGCATGAGTGACCAGATCAAGAGGACGGGCGAGGGCCCCACACAGAGGCCACAGGAGAGCCACCACGTCCCCAACACCTGGGTACCAAACCCTTTACCCAGCCACCTCACACCTGAAATATCGCCTAAAGCCGGTAGGTGCCTCCCCCATACACCATGGGAATCTAGTGTTCTGGGAAAATGCCTGAGCTGACGGGCAGCTCCCTGGAAATCCCTCCCACCTGAAAACACAGCACAATGTAGAATTCACTTCCTGCCATTTTTAGAACAAACTCTCTATAGATTCAGTGTCCGTGTTTGGAAGACTACCTCACAAATGATCAAAAGCGATCCTCTCTGCCAGGGGGTGGGGTGGGATGTCTTCTGTCTGTACTTGCTAACTTTTCTGCACGGCCCGGAGTTACTTTTGCAGCAATATCTTCAAACAGAGACACGTGGAAGGAGTCCGCCATCCTACTGGCTGACCATCCTGGGTACCGTGGGTAGTCGGGTGAGAGGCAATTTAATTTTTACCAGTGTTTGGTAGGAAGGCAACTTTTACAAAATTAGTAGTAAAGCTTTTCCATCAGTTTGACAGTGAGGGTTGGAAGAACGGGAGAGCTTCAGATCCCGATGGAGGCAAACATTCCTTGCTCTAACTCTTGGGGGCAGAAGACCATCCAGCACCCGTTTTTAATTGCCAGACACCCACTCTACCGACTTGCCATTTTTGCCCGTTTCGGACACGTACTTACCGCAGACACCAAATACTGTCTCTTTCCACTGAGATGCAAAGCAGACCCAACATGCACACCCCCCCACCGCCCCCCCACCCCCCCACCATCCCCGGCTCTGTCAAAGGGCTCTTGGGCCAGCCTGGCAAAGCCAGCCCCATGTTACCAGAGAAGACTAATTCCCAAGGGGGTCCGCCCTTACCTGTCACCTTGGCCTTGAAAGGGCTGCCCACAATGTGGTTAGGCCCACCATATTTAACACCGATCAGGTAGCTGCCGGGAGCCATGGGAGTGTACATGACTTTGTACCCCTCTGGGGTCTCCTGGCAATCCATCTTGACCTTGGACGGGCCTTCAATGGTGACTGACAGTGTTCCCGGCCCCGCGCGGGTAGTGTTGATGAAAAATTCAGACTGGATGCCTGGGAGAAAGGAAAGAGGGTGTCATGTTGCTAATTGGGGTGCAGGCTCAAGGTAGAGGGGGCTGCTTTTCCAGGGGTAGTGAGGCAGTGGTGGTAGGGGCATACCCGGGGCCCCTCAGAGGGCACACATGGGAGGCCTTGGTGGCATGGGACTCACGGATGAGCTCCTGGCACAGAGAACGTCAGGCCCGAGGGGCCAAAGGAGAGAGGGGGCAGCATCTTCCTTCTCAGGCTGAGGCTGACATTTCGCCCACAAGTACCGAGGCTGCTGACACCCTGTTCTTGCTGGGTCAGAGCCGTCCCTGTGAGCCCAACGCGCTGTCTCAGCTGGGAGGACCCAGGCTCGGGTGCCAAGGGGCTGTGGGAAGCGTGGGCCCCGCTGACCTTTCCTTTCTCCTTTGGGTGGGCAAGAGAAGCCAAGGAGGGCCAGCCTCTCCTCCTCGGGCTCCTCAACCGGGCACCATGTTGAAGCCCGGGGCAGGCACTTTGCAGCACCTGCCTCCCCACCCTGTCCAGAACACCCGGAACAAGAACCACTCCCACCTGGTGCTACTCAGAGTCCCTTTCAGGCCCTGCACTACCTATGTGGACACTGGGTGCCCTGCCGTTGTATGGACACAGGGCTGAGCCACGTCTGCCTGGCTCTGTTGCTCAGGCCTAGCTCTTGACCACAAGGGCTGGGTGGACAATGGAGCAGCCCAAGGCACCTATCCCAGGTCCACACAGGGAGGGTTCCAGGCACCCAGCCTTGAGAGTCAAGGGCAGCGGGACCCAAGGAGAATTCAAAGAGAGTGTCAACAGGAGACTACGGTTGGCAGTCCTGCCTGTGCCCACTGCCCTACAAGAGTCCCTTTCCAGTCCAGACACCAGCTCCTCTGCAGCGCCCTCTGCAGGTGGTCCCCAGCACAGTACCCCATGCGGGTGGGGGCGGGGGCCTGTTTTCTCCGGAGCGGGGACGCCAACCCCAGCGCGGAACTATTTCGGTATAATTATGGTTCCGGGGCCAGTGAAAGAACGATTGTCCTGGTTATCAATAAAACAAAGGCGCTGCTATCGTGCAACCCCCACTCAGAACCCGGCTGTTTCTGGGAGCTCTGCCCGTCCCAGGGCCTGCCCCGCTATCTCAGCCCGGAGCTGGGATCTAATGCACTAGGCGCCCGCTCACAGTGCATGCTGCACGTGGACGGGGCTGGGGGAGGGGACGGACCAAGGGGGCCATGTTCTCAGGAAGTCACTGCAAGGCACTGATAAGGAAAGATATTTTTAATGTGGAATCGAAAAGAGCTGACTTCTTTGGAAAGAAGCCCCATGCCCTTTACAAGAGGCCCATTCCTGAGAAAGGCTGGTTCTGGGCATGGCCTGAGAGAGAGCTGAAGGGGGCACTGGGCAGTCCCAAGTTAAGGACAACACCCTCAGGCCCTTTCACACCCTGAGAATCTGCCCTCATTTGGAAGGGAGCCCCTAACCCGACACCAATTCTTCATCACAATCACCTGCATTCACGGAATGTCTTTTCTATCACCGACATGGGCCGTGAGCCTTTGCTTGCACCACAGCCTAGGCTCCTGCACTTGACTGATCACTGGAATCACCTGGTGCTGCTACAGCCCCCCTGAAGCAGGCTCTTCCCCCTGAAGATGCTGACCCAACACAGTTCTCCCCCAAGTTCTCTCCTCCCCTCTCCCCTCCAGGGCAGTCCAACCCCAGATCCCCCACACCTCCAATGCCCCAATTGTCAGAGTGGACTATTTAAGCTCTAGCCAACAGATAAGCAGACCCACCCCTCACATGGCAGGGAAGCCCACTTTGTTCCGAGGGCCCTGGGGTGGCCTGGCACAGACACCTTTTTCATTGCACTCACTGCAGCTGTGTAATCTTGGGGTGGATATTTGGGAAAAGGCTCAGGAGCAGGAGGGCTAGAAAAACAAGACGCCTTCCCCTGCACAAGAGCAATATTGACACAACGAGGGAGACAGGCGTGCCCTGTGCCTCGCCTCTGGCTGGAGTCTCCTGCAAGACCAGCTCCTCCATCGCAGCCTCCAGCACTGACAAAGCGCCGTCTGAAACCAGAGCCCCGAGGAGGTGTGCAAACCGCCCAGAGGAAGTGGGAGAGGGGCCCAGGCACAGCCGGGGAGGCCAGCAGGAGGGTGCCTGGCGGGTGTGGGACACCCCACGGCTGCCTGGCTAAGACCTGCTGTGCAGTCAGTCCAAGTGCCATAGGCCCCCACCTGAGGCTGAACGGTGGGGCCCACAGCCTGCAGTGCTGCTGGGGATCCATTCCCGAGGGTCTCAGAGTATGGGGCCTGGACTCCGGGTGCAGGCCCTGCCCTCAGGTGAGTCAGCCACTTCGAGAGCCTTAGGGAGTAAGGCTATCTCCTACCTGAATGAGGCTGCGAGGTAACCGCACCTCTCTGCCTCAGTTTCCACATCTGTAAAAGGCTCTCCCTTAGCCTCCTAGGGGCTCTGGGACAGTGACCCGACATGGTGACTTTTATGAAGAACAAGTTGCTGGTGTGGAGTTTGGAGTCTGAGTGCCATTGCCTGGAGAGGCTGGTAACTCTTCCCACCCCAACCCCCACCCCATTCCCCCACCCCAGCGGCTCTGCTGAGGGCACTTTTGGCTGGCATCTTGGGGTGGCACACCAGCCCACCTGGCACTCCTCTGCCTGGGCAGGGTCCTCTGGCCACACAGGAAACTTCCTCTCCTGGCCGGATAGCAGATAAACTTGGCCACTCACCTCTGCTACAGCCATGGGGAAGGGAGCAAGCACTGCATGCCTACTGCACACCAGGGCAGGAGGGTTAATAGGGGGTGGCGACATACAGGGGACACACTCCTTAGAGGGACCCTAAGTGATGCTGCACGCCAGTGGGCCCAGGCGCCCAGGCTCCCCTGCAGAGGAGTGTATGTAGAGTCTGGCTTGCTCCATCCCGGGCGCCCTGGACACGGCCCCGAGGCACACGGGAGGGCTGGGTGCACCACAGTATGTGCAGTCCCAGCAATGCAAAACGCTGTGTGGGCCCATCCCTCTATGGCACCTGAGAACCCACGGGGGACGGGGGAAGCCACCCGGAAGGGAGAGGACCTAGGAGACTGGGGGCAGGGGATGCTCAGGCTTGTCTCTGGACCGGAATCGGTG